GGACCAATGGAGAGGGGGAGGGGGACCGCAGGAGGTTTGGGGCCTAGTTGGACTCTAGCAACCCTCACCCTGTCTTCTTTCATCTGGAGGAGTGGTTTGGGGACGGACCCTGGTCTCTGGGGCCTGAAACCAAATTGCCAACTTACAGGAAGAGGGATGGGAAGTAGGTGGGTGGGCACCTAAATCTGTTCTCTGTGGATCAGACTATTGAGGCCAAGCACCTGTGCCTGCCTGCAGTGGGAAGGAGGCCAGGAAGCCAGCGAGCTCTGTGAAGGGGCCATAGGAGCCTTCCCCTGCCCCTCTGCTCTGATGGGGGATCTGAGATGGCCCTGGCCTGGGGGAGAATGGTCTGTCCAGGGGGATCAGTGAAAGAGTGGATTGTGCAGAGCCTGGGGCGGGGGTGGGAGGCTGACGGATAGAATGTGGGTTGAGGGAAGACCAGGTCCATGAGAGGAGTGGGACTGGAAGAAGGAGGATTGCTGCAGAGAGAGAGAGAGAGAGAGAGAGAGAGAGTGCGTGTAAGAGGGGAGGCTCTCCCTCCGTCGTCCTGCACCCAGCTCCTGCAGGTCTGCTGTCACAGTGCCACACTTCACTCCTTGGGGCCTAAAGCAAGTGTGGGGGCAGAAGGGTAAGCTAGAGCTGCATTTCTTGCCCCTGAAGCATTTAGAATGTCCTCATGCTGTGAGCTCCGGGGCAGGCAAGGATGGGTTGGGAGCACTGAGACCTGGGATTCAAGTGTGCGGGGATCTGCTTAGACCCAGGGTAGGCAGCCACCTTCTCAGGTCTTCTTACCCCTCCCCGCCCCCAGATGAGCATGAATGGCCAGTGTGTCCAGGTGGGTGGCCCTGGGGTGGAGGAGTGCAGGGAGGGCCGTGGCTTGGCAGGTGTGGTTTGAGAGTGGAAACTTGGATAGGTAGCTGAAAGGTCTGGGAAAGGCAATGGTGGTCAGAGTGCTACACTGCCCACTTCTCATCTCTGGTTCCAGGTGGGGGAGTTACGGCAATGGGGGCTCCCTGGGAGGAAGAGAGATGCAGGGCAATTATGGCAATGGGGGCTCCCCAGGAGGATGAGAGATGGGAGGTGTGCGCCAGCCTTGTGGGGGAGGGGTGGGATGTCCGGGTCCATCCTACAGCTTTGGTCACTCACCAGCCCCCCTTCTTTGACCTTGGGACTGTGGGCTGAAGTGCAGTGTGCAATGTCTGGGTTTGGCCAGGGTCCAGGCAGAGCTGCTCTCTGCACTCCATCTAGGGAATGGAGGTATGTAACCCATCCAGTCCCCGGCGTGGGGGGTCACCAGTGTCAAAGGCTGAGGAGAGCCTCGGCAGCAGGGAAAGATCAGAGGCTGGTCCATCCCTCCACTTTTCCTGTTGACTGGAGTAAACATGGATTAGGGCTGGGCTCTGAAGCTGGGGAGGCCACAGCCTTGGGGTCTGGGCTCAGACCCCAGCAAGGGGAGGGCTGGGACTTTCATTCTCTCTGAGGGTCTTAGCTCCAGTGGCCTGCCTCACCTTCTCCATGATTCACCCTTACAGTAGCAGCCTTTTGCCAAACTCCATCAGAACCACCAGGGAGATTTAAAATAGAGAGATTTCTGGGCCTCGTCTCTGACCTACAGACTAGGGGTGGGGGGTAGGGAATAGGACTCAGGGCTCTTTAGGTTTAAAAAGCACCCCGAGAGACTCCAGTGCCAAGCCAGTGTGGAGAGCCACAATAAGTAAATTGGAATCATAAAGGGTCGCTGACCTAGGAAGGGAGTAGGAAGGTGTGAGTCCTCCCAGATGCTGAGTTCCCCTTGCTGACACCCAGCACACTTGCTGCCCTCTGAGCTGGAATGGGAGAGTGTCACTGCTGTCCCCCTCCCACGGTATCCACAAATCTACATGGCCAAGCACACAGAGGCTGTCTAGTGAACTCTGGCTGAATGAATGAGCACAGGATGGCATGGGCAAGTGGATGAATATTCACTGGGCTCAGGCATTCAGGAGAGGGTGGGGGAGGGTGAAGGGGACCTCCCACTCTCTGAGGAAGGAGGAACTTGAGCCCAGGCCTGTCCTTCCCAACATGGAGCCAGATGGGGAGAGGTGGAGGGACTCTGAAATGGAAAATCCAGTATGCCCAGGCCCTGGGTGGGCTTGTCAGTGATCCTTAGGGCAAGTCTGTCCCCGTTCTGAGGTTAAGGTTCTTCCTGCTAAAGGGCAGAAGGTCCCAGGTTTCCCTGCATGGGAGGGTGGGAGGCCAGTGAGGCGATGGAAAGAGTTTGGGGTTCTGGGCCAAGTTGGTTGATGTGCTTTGTGAAGTGGGCTTGCCAGTGCCTCTCTCCAGGCCTCAGTTTCTCAATCTGACATTGTCACTGATGCCTGATTTCAGTTCTCATCCCTCCTCCCTCCCATGTAACCGAAAGGGAGGGCTTTGAAATGGAAGGAGAAGGTTCCACCTGTGATCATCTAACATGGACATTGTGAACAGAGGGTCTGTCCTATGGATGGGTCTTTTCTAAAGGCTAGAGGGAAAGGTAGTTGTGCCACGGACACTCAAAGTGTCAAAGATGGGACAGGGAAAATAGGCAGAGGTTCTGCTGGGTGGGTGAGTTCTGAGCTAGACAGTAGGGAGACATGATCAGAGCGCCGTGTCTGTCTATAGGTACCTAGCACTCAGTACGGGCATCTACACCACGGTGGCAACTCACCCAGGGTCTCACAGCATCCCCCTCACCTCTGCCCAGTCTTTAGCCTTACTGTTGGTAACTAAACATGACAAAGGGCCCCCAGCACAAGGCCTGGCACAGAACTAGGGCTTAATATTTGCTGAATGAATGAATGAGAATAGTGCAGAAAAAGAAAACAATTGCTGAGGACTTCCAGCCTGGATGTGAAGGAGAAAAAGCTCTAAGGCCATCTGGTGCCTGGCTCAGACAGGGTGTGCAGGGGTCCTGCCTGGGGTCGGATGCTACCCCATCTTGCATGCCCCCAACCCTCATTACATCCTCATGGATGGTCTGATCATGCAAAAGATTATGGCAGTTGAGGAGAGGAAAAGTCACAGCCTTGGGCAGATCCTCAGACTTAGGGATTCCCACCTTCCCCTCCACCAGCCTCTGGCTATTTGCAGAAACCTCAGCTAGGAGAGGCCCTCCTTTTCTCACCACCCTATCTCCCATAGGTGTGGCATCCAGGCATTTCTGGGCTTACAGAGGGAGGCAGTGATCTCCAAACCAGAGAAGCAGGGCAGGGGGCAGGAGGTGGGGGTGGGAGGGAGCTGATATTTATTGAGCAACTGCTATACGCCAGACCCATTGCTTATCTGATCTCATTTATGATCACAATCTCTGTGGAGTATGCATTATCCCAATTTCATTTCCTAATAGAGAGATTGCACACTCTGTGAAAACAAGGACCATATCTATCTTGTTCAATACCTGATGCACAGATGCATAGGCTCTAACATGGTGGCCAGGACAACAGACATTCTAGGACTTCTTCTTGAAGGAAGGAAGGGAGGAAGGAAAGGAGGAAGGAGGGGGGAGGGAGGAAGGGAAGAAGGGAGGAAGGGAGGAAGAAAGGAGGGGGGAGGGAGGGAGGAAGGAAGGGAGGGAGGGAGGAAGAAGAGAAAAACCCTCAGGGAAAACAAGTAGAAGGGAGGGTGATGATGCCTGCTTGGTGGGTGGACAGGAAGGTGTTTTGGAAGGTTGTTTTAAGCTCAGTCCTGGAGGAAGAATAGGTATTTGTCATGTGCCCAGAGGAAGTGACAGGGACTCAGGCAGAGGGAACTGCCAGAGGGAAAGACAGCAGTGTGAGAACCATGATACATTTGGGGAACTTCTGGTGGCATCAGCATGGCTGGAGCACAAGGCGGGGATCAGAGGGCGCTGATGGAAGTGAGGCTAGAACTGAAGGTAGGAGCCAGACCAAGGAGTGAGAAACAGGATTGTCATGTGCCAAGCCAAGAACTGGAACTGTTTTCTGAGGACTGTGGGGGCTCCTGTAGGTTTGTGCAGGTTTGAAGTGGAGAGAGAGAGGATCAGATTCAAGTTTCAGGAAGATTACTGTAGCAGCTGTCGGAAGGATGGGTGGGCAGTGCGGGAGGGACAAAACAGGCCACCGGCTGGGGAACCACCAGGCAGATGTGCCCATGTGCTCTGCAGCTGCTGAGGTCCTGAGAAGGTGGTCAGGTCTTTCCAGTCCAGAAGGGAGGAGGCTAAGGGGAGATGTGGCAAGAGCCTAGAAAACCAAGAACAGGCCATCACATTGCCAAGCTGGACAAAGCTTCAAAAGGGAAAACTTAATCAACTGGAAAGAAACTGCCCTTCGTAAGCTGGCTGTGAATTCCCGAAGGAAGTATGGACTCAAAACACACCTGTAGAGGGCTGGAAAGTTCTTGACTGACAGGAGGGTAGGGGGGCTGGAGCTCCAGGGGCCCAGCCTGCATTTTGGGGTGTGGAAGACTGCCGAACTTTGCCCTTGTCCTCCACAGCTCTGATGGCCCTGGTGGCCAGCTCCCTGGCTGCAGAGAAACTGTGCCCTACAAGGAGCAGTGAGGGCTGACCCAGACACTTGCTGCCCCCCTCCAGACCTGATTTCCTCATCTGTCAAAGGGAGTGTTGATCTACATGGCGGCTACGATGCCTTGCAGCTGTCATTGTCTTCTACTGACTGAACCAGAGCTGGCCCTGGGTTTTGGAGGCAGGGAGAAGAGTGAGGGAGATGGAATATGGGAGACAGAGAAACTGCCAGGATCAGGGCCGGGGGTCCTCAGGGGAACTGGAGCATGCACACAATCCTTCATCAGAGATTTACTGAGCACTTACTAGGTGCCAGGGACCATTCTAGGCCTTGGGGGACAGAGCAATGAACAAAACAGACCCAGTGCCTACCCTCATGGAGCACACACTCTGGTGCACATGGCTGGGCACGTGGGCCTCCTAGCTTGTGGGCACAGCCCAGGTCTCCTTGGGCCCGGCAGGGTGGGTGACCTCAGCCAGTCCCTGTATGTGCCTCTTGCAGGTGTTCTCCGTGGCATCCCCGTTTGAGGTCAATGGTCTCCCACGAGCTGTGCCTCTGAGCCTGCCCTACCAGGACTTCAAGAAAGACCTCTCTGATTACCGAGAACGGGCTCGGTTGCTCAACAGGGTCCGGAGGGTGGGATTCTCCCACATGCTGCTCACCACCTCCCAGGTCCCACTGGCTCCTGTTCAGCCTCAAGCTAATGGGAAGGAGGAGGAGGAGGAGGAGGAGGAGGAGGAAGAGGAGGAAGAGGAGGAGGAAGAGGAGGAGGAGGAAGAAGAGGAGGAGGAGGAGGAAGAAGAGGAGGAGGAGGAGGAAGAAGAGGAGGAGGAGGAGGAGGAGGAGGAAGAGGAGGAGGAGGCAGTGGCTCTAGGGGAGGTGCTGGGGCCTCGCAGTGGCTCCAGCAGTGATGGGAGTGAGAGGAGCACTGACCGGAGCCAAGAGGGTGCCCCTTCCACGCTGCTGGCTGATGACCAGAAGGAGTCCAGGGGCCGGGCCTCCATGGCCGACGGGGACCTGGAGCCTGAGGAGGGCTCCAAAACGCTGGTGCTCGTCTCCCCTGGCGACATGAAGAAGTCGCCCGTCACTGCCGACCTGGCCCCTGACCCTGACCTGGGGACTCTGGCTGCCCTCACTCCTCAGCAAGAGCGGCCCCAGCCCACCGGCAGCCAGCTGGACGTGTCTGAGCCAGGCACCCTGTCCTCTGTCCTCAAGTCTGAGCCCAAGCCCCCTGGGCTGGGAACAGGGCCAGGGGCTGGGGCAGTGACCACAGGGGCAGGAGGAGTGGCAGTCACCTCCTCACCCTTCACCAAAGTTGAGAGGACCTTTGTGCACATTGCAGAGAAAACCCACCTCAATGTCATGTCTTCCGGTGGACAAGCCTCCCGGTCTGAGGAGCTGGGTGCTGGGGGTGAGCTGGGCCTGGAGGCACCCTCTGACGGGAGGGTTGTGGAGGAGGGGGCCTCCGTGCCCCTGGAGAATGGCATCGCCCAGTCAGGGCTGGAGAGCTGTGTTCTGTCTGGACCCCCGATGGATAGCCCCTTGGAGGTGGCCACAGACTCACTGCCCAATGGCCCAGCCCTTGTTAACGGGCCAGCTCCAGCATCCCCGCTGGAGCCAGGCCCAGAGAAACTGGCCACTGTCTCCCCCAGCCGCCATGCCATGCCAGGCCCTCGCCCCAGGAGCCGGATCCCTGTCCTGCTGTCTGAGGAGGACACAGGTTCGGAGCCCTCGGGCTCACTGTCGGCCAAAGAGCGGTGGGGCAAGAGGGCCCGACCACAGCAGGACCTGGCACGGCTGGTGATGGAGAAGAGGCAGGGCCGCCTGCTGCTGCGGCTGGCCTCTGGGGCCTCGTCCTCCTCCAGTGAGGAGCAGCGCCGTGCCTCTGAGACGCTCTCAGGCACGGGCTCAGAGGAGGACACGCCTGCCTCGGAGCCTGCCGCCCCCAGGAAGGCAGGGCGGGCAGCTACCACCCGGAGCCGGATTCCCCGCCCCATCAGCATCCGCATGCCCACGCCTGCTGCAGCCCAGCAGTCCCCTGGCAGACCCCACAGCGCTGCCCCCGCATCTGACACAGCCATCACCAGCAGGTGAGAAACCTCTGCCAGCCCCAGGGTGGGCAGAGGGTGACCACAGAAGGCCTCCACCAGCAGGGGCCTCCCCAGAGCCAAGGTCAGGGCCTAGTGAGGATGCAGCTACACCTGTTCACCACCTTCCCCATTAAGTGTCTCTTCTGACTCAGGTCCCAGCCCTGTCACTGGGCTCAAGGGAGGGGCTACAGTGAACATGTCTAGAGGGGTGCCAAGGAGGCCAAACTTGGGAAAGGTTAATAGGGGCCAGTGGAGCTCACATCACAGCCTCAGGTATGTCATGAGGCATTTGAAGCCAAAGGATAAAGGGCAGAGTAGTTGGGAAAAAACACGATTCATATCAATGTAAACACGGGTACATTATAGAGTAGAATGTAAAATCCATGAGAATTTCAGAGATGAAACAGTGACGTCCAAGAAAGCCTGCAGCAAGCTCTTGGGGAGCAGCCTGGGAGAGGGTGGACTCTAGAGGTCCCACCCTGGAGGATGAAGCACCAGGCCTCAGTTTATTCACCTGTGCCATGATCTCCTCAGCCTCATCCAGCTCTGAAGACGCAGGACTCTAGGGCTCAGTGCCCAGAGATTCTGAAAATGTCTCTCCTTTTTTGTTTCTTTGCCCTCTTCTTTTCTCTTGCCTTCTGCACCCCTCCATCCCCCTCCTCCCGCAGGCTCCAGCTGCAGAAGCCCCCAGGGTCGGCCGTTGCTGCTGACCTCCGCCCCAAACAGCCCCCCGGCCGTGGCCCGGGCCCAGGGCGAGCCCCAGCCGGCACCAGGCCCCCCGCCCCGCGAAGTCCAGGCCCCTCCACCTCCGCCGCGCCACGCCAGCCCAGCGCGTCCCCCCGGAGCCAGTCCCTGTCCCGCAAAGAGAGCTCCTCTCCCTCGCACCAGGCCCGGCCCGCAGGTCCCCCGCCCCGGGGCGCCCCGCAGGCCCGGGCCCAGCCTGATGGTACCCCCTCCCCGGGGGGCCCCAAGAAAGGACCCAGAGGGAAACTCCAGACTCAGCGCGCAGCAACCAAAGGCCGGGCGGGGGTCGCGGAGGGCCGGGCCGGGGCCAGATAATGACGCGCGAGGCTCTCCGCGGCCCCCCACCCTCACCCCGGCCCCCCATCCGCAGCCGGCCACACTGAAACAGCTCCCAGCACAGCCTTACGCGCCTGACGCGCGCCACCCGCGGCCCCAGCTTCCCGCCTGCACCCGCGAGGACGCGCGCCAGCATTCGCCGCGCCCGCCCGCCGGCCCGGCCGGAGGCGGACGCCTCGCCGCGGGGTTGGGGAGGGGGGGG